CATTATACTGACTCACTATCAATTGTGAATCGGAACAGGCGTCTATCTTTCGTGCCCCTGCCGCCTTACACATGCGGATTCCGGCTAGTAAAGCTTCATATTCTGCCTCATTGTTTGAGGCCTGAAAACTGAAGCGTAGAGCAACTCGTACCTGTCTCCCTCTGGCGACTGAAATATGACGCCTGCTCCACAACCATTTGAAGTAGAGCTTCCATCCACATATACCTTCCAGACTTGGTCTGGATCTCGAGAATCAGGGGGACGAGTCATCTCAACAATAAAGTCAGCAAAGGCTTGCCCCTTCACTGCTTTTCTAGACTCGAAAGTATCTTCGAGGCTCTGTATTTCTATGGCCCATTTGATCATCCGGCCTGACGACTCCATGGTGGTTAGTGGCCGCTTGATAGGTTGATCTGTATACACGACGAATGCATGTGCTAAAAAGTAGGGCTTCAATTTTTTAACAGCCATGAAAAGCGCAAGACCAAATTTCTCCACTAAAGGATACCCCAACTCGGCATTTTTTAGTACATGACTGACAAAGTAGACCGGTAGCTGACAGCCGTCTCTTTCAGCAAGAAGAACAGCGCTTAACGCATGATCAGAGACGGCCAGGTACATGTAGAGTACTTCTTTGGGCAAAGGGCTGACCAGCCTCGGCAAGGAATGCAAGTGCACTTTCAATTTCTGGAAGGCCGCCTCAGCATCCGGCCCCCATTCAAACCTTGCCTTCTTCTTAATGGCTTGGAGTAAATATAAAAATTTGTCGCCTGATCGGCTTAGAAATCTTCCCAAGGCCGCCAGACAACCTGTTAACTTCTGAACCTCTCGGACGGTACGAGGCGACTGCATGTCGATGACCGCCTGCACCTTCTTAGGGTTCGCCTCTATTCCTCTCTGATTGATAAGGAATCCGAGAAATTTCCCAGACTCAACTCCAAATACACATTTCTTGGGATTGAGCATGACATGGTGCCGCCTGAGTGTGGCGAAAGTTTCTCGGAGGTCCGACAGATGATCTATTTGAAGCTTAGACTTAACAATCATATCATCAATGTATGCCTCGACGTTTCTCCCAATCTGATCAAAGAACACAGTGTTTATCATTCGCTGGAAGGTGGCCGGGGCATTCTTAAGACCGAACGGCATGACCGTGTAACAGTATAACCCTTGATCAGTGACGAAGGCCGTCTTCTCCTGATCTTTCTTCCATAAAGGAATTTGATGGAAACCAGAGTAGGCGTCCATAAAGCTCATCAAAGCATGGCCGGCTGTTGAGTCGACCAGGTTATCAATTTTAGGCAGAGGGTAACTATCTTTGGGGCATGCCTTGTTTAAATCTGTGTAGTCTACACACATTCGCCAAGTGCCATTCGGCTTTTTAACAAGCACCACATTTGCAACCCAGTCTGGGAAGTAACATTGCCGAATGAACCATACATCAAGTAGTTTTTTACCTTCGGCGGCTGCCGCCTGACTTCTTTCTTCGCCATGGTTCCGTTTCTTCTGCCTTATCGGCTTCTTTTTCGGATCCACAGCCAGTTTATGTACCGCCAGGTCAGGACTAATGCCTGGCATTTCGCGGACTTTGAATGCAAAGATGTCCTTGTATTCTTTCAATAGTTTGTGAAAATCGTCACCCAGGACTCTTAGAGCAGTCGTCCCAACTTTGACTGTTTGCTCAGGACGTGAGTCGTCTAAGATCAAGTCCGTATGCTCACCAGCCGGCTGAGGGCAGAATTCATCCGACCGCTCCTCTGCCAATGATTGCTATTTTCTGTCCTTTCTTGCGGCCCCTGTCTGGGCTGCCTTTCTCTTCTTGCCGCCTGCTTCTTGAACAGGCGCACTCTCCTTGATATTGTCAAGGTCTGTTTTTCCACCACTTGACCCAGCGGCCATAACAGTGGGCTTGATATCCGAGAGATAGCACTCTCGGGCCATCCTCTGATCTCCCCTTAGGGACCCGACTGTTCCATTATCCATCTCAAACTTGAGCAACATAAGAGATGGGATTATAACAGCCTTGGAATTATTCAGGGTTGGTCGTCCCAGAATCATGTTGTAGGCCGAGAGTTCTTCTACTACCAGGAACCGGACTACCATGTGTCGTCCTTCCCCTTTTTCACCCAGGCGGATGGGTAAATCCACTCGTCCCACTGGGTGGACGACTCCTCCTCCAAACCCTACTAAAGGGTGGGATGCCGGATGTATGCAATCAGTCTGATATTTTAGTTTTGACAGACATTTGCTACTAATAAGATCTGAGGAGCTTCCAGTATCTATAAGGATTCGGCCAACTCTCTGGTTGGCCACTTTACATTCAATAACGATAGGGTCGTCATGCGGCCCCCTTACCCCTCTTAGATCTTCTTCAGTGATGACAATCTCAGGAAATGAATATTTGGGGGGTTGTTCTTGGTGAACGGAATTTACATCTAGCCGCCTGATATTGTCTTTGTTGCCCCTAATAGTGGGACCGCCTCCTGCGAAGCCGCCTGCAATGGTGTAGACGACTGCATCATCTGTATCAGAGCTGTCGGCCTGTTGACCCTTTTTGGCCGACTGCTTTTTTGAGGAAGTGTTCCCAGTAGATTTCTTGACATAAGAGTCAAGATCGCCTTGCTCAGCCAAGCGGTCCAGATACCGCATGAGACTGATGCATTCGTTGGTGTGATGACCAACATCTTCATGATAATCACAGAATTTTTCTTGGTTCCGGTTGCTTGCAGAACCCTTCATGGGGACCGGCTTCTCAATTGAGATCTGTCCCTTGATTTCCTTTAGGATAGCTTGGCTATCCTTGTTAAACGCATACTTTGGGGAGTATGGTTTGAATTCTTTTTTCTTCTTCTGGGCCGGCTGTTTAGAGGAATCAGCCGCCCAGACCTCTTTTCTTTTCTTTTCTTTTCATCTTTGTTCGATAACTGTTTCTGTCGTCCTTCTTTTTTGTCGAACCTTTTCCCGTCCGACTGTTTTGTACTACAAAGATCAGTCGCCTGTATATAGGCTTCCGCTTCAATCAAGGCCTCTTGAAGAGTCGCCACCCTCTTTCGGACCAAATAAAATTTGAATGTCGATCCGTCGTTGAGGCCTCTGAAAAAGTCAGTATAGGCTACCTGATCCGGTAACCCTTGAATCTGTATTCTCATCAGGTTAAACCGCCTGATGTAAGAACGAAGCCCCTCCTTCTCGCCCTGCTGAATCGTTCCTAAATCAAGGGTCGTCTTCTTCGCAGGTATGTTCATGGAAAAGTTGGAGGTGAATAAGTAAGCAAGCGTCCTAAAGTTATTCACACAACCAGTCGGCAGGTTGCCGAACCATTGTTGTGCGATTCCTTTGAGAGTCGTTGGGAAACACTTGCACCAAGTGGGATCATCCAACCCTTGAAGGTACATCAGGTTGGTAAATGCCATCAAATGGTCTTCTGGGTTAGTAGTGCCGTCATAGGCGCCTACTAATACATTTTTCACTTTGGCCGGCTGAGCGGCTTCAGCAATTTCCTTGGAGAAGGCCGACGGCTGTTCCCCAAGTCTAAGCAACCGTAGCTGTCAGTCCATAGGTTGGACATTGTTTGCTGCATGCCCACCAAACAGAGGTGGCTGCAAAAAATATTGTTGTTGCGGTACAAATGGTAAGTTTGGTACCGCCTGGTCACTATGAAAGCCGGACTGACGGGAGGTGTCGCCTGACTGACTCTCATGATACGACTGAGTATACTTCATCGAGGTATTGCGTAGACTGTCTTGGAAGTCTGAAGTAGAGGCCGACTCTGACAATCGGTCATTCTTCTTCTGTTCTAGCAATAACCGAGCATCTGTGTATGTTTTCTTCGACCCGTCCACCTGAATATGACGAACAGGTTTCCTCTTTCCTGGAGTAGGAAAGCGGTACTTTGTGAAATCAAGGGAAGGCGGCTCCCACTTTCTAGAGTTAGGATGAGGGGTCGCCTCTCGCCCTTGAACTGGCTTCCTCTTCCCTGAAGTGGAAGGTTTCTTAGCCAACTGCTCCTTGGCCAGAGCAGGTTTCTTGTTGAGCAACTCTTGAATCTCTCCCTTGAAGCCCCTCATGAAGGTCATGAGTTCGTTTCTTGTAATGGGAGTAGACCCGTCAGCCGGCTGCTGCTGAACAGGCGGTGCGCCGACTGGATCACTGAGTTTAGTGTGAAGATGTTCCCGTTCCCTCCTTTCGGTATGACGGGTGCGTCGGGCCCTTAGGGTTCTGTCTGAAGCTGTGTGAGCTTCAACTTCAAATTCTTCCTCAGTATCATGGTCCGACTGAACTTGAGGGTCGTCTAGGGGACGCCTCTCTTCAGGAGTCGGTACAGACGTGGATGCCATCTCAGGAGTACTCTCCCCACAGACGGCGCCAAAATGTTTCGATGTTTTCTGATTTCCTGCGGGAGAGTTACAATTCCGAGACTGGAACCGGACGCCTGTACCTGCAAAACAAACGGATGCTCCGGATGATTGGAGATCCGCCTCCGACGGTCAAGTTAGTACTTGATTAAGGAGTAATTAGTGCGGAAATAAAAGTGATTGGGTCTCTCTAGGCGAGAGTGTTAAATGTGCGTCATCCCCCTTAATGAGGATTAAGGGAGGTATTTATAACCTTGGGAAATGTGCCAATCCTAGGTTTAGGTTAACCTAGGGCTGATTGGGCTTCCCTTGGAAGTTGGGCCTAGGTGGCCGGTTTCTCCATTAGGCATGGAGGATGCCACGTGTCATGACATAATAGGTCCAGGGTGGACAAATAGGCGTGTGCCATGTGGCAAACCCTGACAGTTCCAACTGGGGTACACTTGGCAGGACCTGATTGGCCCACGTGGCGCATTCCGATTGGTGGGAGCAAAATCCCCTAATCAGATATGATGACCATGATGGGGATAGGAATTATCATCACCAAAGAAATTTTGATAAATATAATCAAGGGAGTAGTTATAAGAACCAAGGAAACCAAGGTTTCTGTGGTAACTATAACAACCATAGTTGTAATGATCAAAGTCATGGCCAAGTATATGGGGATCATAACAAAGGTTATGGTAACTATAATCAAAATTTTGGCTAGAATCATGGTATGGGTAATTAGAGTAACCAAAATAGCATGACACCCTTTCTTCTTTACCTTCACAAGGAATTGATCATAAGGAACCGATTTGTTCTATCACCACACGGAGTGGTTAGTTCCTTGAGAGTAAGGTGTCTAAGAAGAGTGATGCAAAAGAGAGTCCAATTGAGAATGAGGGATATGAGAGCCCTTTGGTTGAGGAAGTTTCTAAGGAACAAGTTGAGAAGGTGAAGGAGAAAGAAAAAGAAGTTTACAAACCCAAACTTCCTTACCCCCAAAAGTTCAATAGGCACAAATTGGATGAACAATTTGGAAAATTCCACGAGATGCTAAAGAAAATTCATCTTTCTATTCCTTTCACCAAAGTCTTAGAACAAATGTCTAACTATTCTAAGTTTCTTAAGGAAATTTTGAGCAGCAAGAGAGATTGCAATGTGGTTGAGCCAGTGAGTTTAGGGGAGTGTTGTAGTGCCTTTATCCATAATGACTTTCCCCCGAAGATGAAATATCCCGGAAATTTCTCCATCCCTTGCAATATTAAAGGAAAATTGTTCCAAAATTCCCTTTGTGATCTTGATGCTAGTGTTAGCATCATGCCTTATTCCGTCTTCAAGAGACTTAAGATAGGTGAGCTCCCTTCCAACCAACATGACCCTTAAATTGGCAGATCGTTCTATTAAGTTCCCCAAAGGTAGAGTTGAGGATGTCCCCCTCAATATAGGAGATTTTACTATCCCCGTTGATTTCATTGTGTTAGGGATTGCGGAAGATGATCATATTCCTATCATTATAGGGAGACCCTTTTTAGCTACTTCGGGAGCTTTGATATATGTTAAGGGAGGTGGTATTACTTAGAGAGTTGGTAACGATGAGGAAAGTTTTGAGCTAAAACCGATGCATGAGTCTTTGTCCCATGTGAAAGGAATAATGTGTGTTAATTCCCCTCGCTCCATTGATATTGTTTGTGAGATTAATTCTTCAACTAATGATGTTCATGAGATTTTTGATGATGTTCTTATGAGTTTTGATGATGTGCTTGTGAGTTTTGATTGCATGAAAGTTAGTGAAGAGAAAAAGGAGCTTTTAAAGGCTATGGACGAAGAGGTAATTGACATTCCGCATTGGTTTGAGCTTTGTCCTCAAGAGGAGGAGGATGATTCCATGGATGTAGATGGTGTGAAACCGTGTGCAAGAAGGAACAAGGTAAAGAAGAAAGCGAGGGCTTCTAGGAAGAAGAGAATGAGAATGAAGTTAAAGCGAGAGAAGTTTCCTTTAGAATTCCAATCAAATGAAGTTTTATCAAGCAACAATGAGAAGTCGCTAAATTTTTAAGAGGAATTTGTGCCTTCCACCACTGTGAAGAAGGTGGTGTCCTTTGATCCTCCATGATTTGGAGGAAGGGTCGAGCTTAGGACCATAAGCAACGCTTCCCGAGAGGCAACCCAGATTTCTAACCTTTTCTTTTTATTTCTTTTTCATAATTTTCTTTCTTTTATTTTCCTATCTTTCACTTGTTTTTCTTTTGATTTATAGGGTGAATTCATGGAGATGGATTAATTCAAGTGAGCATGAGCAATGGAAAGTTGTTTCACGATTTTTGATGTGATTGTATTTGGTTTTATCAAATTTTGAGGTAAAAGGGTAAGAAATGTTAGTGAGGTTACATAGGGAAAATTGTGCTTATATTTGAAAAAAGTTTGAACTTGGTGGGTTCGTTGTGGTGCTATCATTATTTTGGGATGTTGAACCCACTATCAACATTTTTTTAAATTGCCTTATTTAGTGGGTTTAATAATCCCAGGTGATATTGGTCTATGAACACACAATAGAATGCACCAAGTAATAATTTTAAGAAGAGAAGGCAAGCCACGCTGGGGCGCGGGCGCGCCAGACACCAGCGCGGACGCACTACCGTCGGGCGCGGGCATGCCAGGGGTCAGCACGGGCACGCACCCCTGCAGCAGCCGTGCCTTATCTTCTTCTTTCCCCTTTCTTTTCCTCATTTCTCCTTCTTCCCTATCAAACCCGAACTCACTACTCCTCCCTACCTCAAACAACCGCACAAACCCTACCCATTTCTCATCAAAATTCATCATCTACTCCACAAATTTTCATCAAATATCATCAAATTTTCCTACATTTTCATCATTTTAAAAAAAAATCACACTACTTTCATCCATTTCAATCTCCAATCTCTCTCCTCCATTGTTGAAGCAAATTAGGGTTTTTTGTTCTTGAGGGAATTGGTGGCCAAAACTTGTTCAATCTTGCTCCTTGTATGGTATAATCATCTTCTTTTACTCTTAATTGCATTATTACATCATATGGTTGCAAGTATTAGATTTTTCATGGTTGTGAATAGTAGTAGTATGAATTTTGGTGATTTTGGTGAGTGATATTGAATTTTGGATGATAATTTATGTTGTTTGTTGATTGTTATTGACTCACATTGTGTTGTTTGATGTTTTTGTAGAAAATTTGTGCAAATTTGTTGTGAATTGTGGAAGTTGGTTCTTGGTAGTATTGGTTGTGGTTGAAGTTGGTCGGTTGAACCAAGTTGGTTATTGAATTGTGATTGGTGATTTGGAGTGTTTGTGAAGTTGAATTTCTGATTTGGTTGTGATTATTTGGTGAATCATCATGTCTAAATACTTGAAAGCCACCACCTCCAAAACCAAGATAAAGAAAAACAAACATTTCCATAGAAGAACCATCACCCTCAAACACATCTTCCCCTCAATCACAAAACCTTGAACCCTTTCCCATTCCTAGAACTCGTTTCGTTGATAAAGCCAACAAGCCCATTTAGGAAAGATTCCAAAAGATATCCTATAGGCCCTCTCGGCATTACCATCAATTTAGTATGATGAAGTTGGGGGTCAATGATGATTTATGGTTTCTATTTAATGATCTTGGCTTGGAACGCATGCTACTAAGAGCTACCAGACCTACCTTGAGCCTACTTGGGAGTTCTTGGCTTCTTTGAGTGTGACTCCTAATGGTGATAAAGAGTATGCGATCACTTTCCAGCTTTTCAATGATGTTCATGTCATGTCCCTTGCCGAGTTTAATGTGGCCTTGGATTTCTATCCGAATGCGGATCTCTTCTTCTCCGATCACGAGCATGAGTATTTAGAGGGTTTCTTTCCAGGTGCTTTTTTACATTAGGGTTTTAACAAGTTTGGTGCTCGTATTTCTCTTGCAAGCGACATTTTTTAACCGTGTATGAGAGTGCTTCACAGGCTATTGGGGTACTCGGTGTTCCCAAAGCAAGATTTGGGAAAGTTATCGCTCCCCGAGTTGCGAACTTTCTAGATAGCAAGTTTGGAAAAATATAGGGGTCGGTTAAACCTCAGGCGAATTTTCTTGAGCAATTATGTGGACATGAGGGGTAGTCGGTCGGGTGAAATTCCTTGTGGTAGCATGATCACAAGGTTGGCTACAAAGCTTAGGTATGAGAGGTATCTTCTTTCTTGCATTCCGGTAGGGGATCTTGACACCCTTTACCTTGATATCAAGCAATTGAAGCAAGTTCAATTCCTAGCCATGAAAGAAGATGATGAAGTCTTTGACAGGCTTTGTAGGGGTACCCATTGGTGCTATCTTCCAAACCCCTCTCTTACCTCTCTTCGCTAACATGCTCCGAATGTATGGTTTGTGCCCTCTAGTGACCGTATCCCTGGGGAGGATGAAGATATGGAAGATGTTCTCGATGAGGAAAGGAAAGCTCAAGAGCATCAACAATAACAAGTTCAACATCTAGAACAACAACAACACCAATATACGAGCTCCGACTTGGATGCCCTTAGTGCTCAAATGAAGGGTATGCAAATCCGCTTGGAGGGGATGTAAGATTAAGATTTTGAGGCCCTCTACACTCAAATGAGAGGAATTTTGGAGATGCAACAAGGTATGTTTCTCCAAACCCAACAATTGTATCATGCGGGTGTTAACCAGGGAGACATCACTCCCCGGTTAATTACTAGTACTTTCCACCCCAACATGGTCCTATACCATCTTTTTGGGGTGATGGGGTACCTACGTACCCATATTGGAAAGGACCCCCGGGGTCCAACATCAAGACTCGCTCATTTCCCGATGAGCACGGTAACTATGATTACCGTGTTCCAAGTGGGAGCGACTATAGGGGTGATCCTAACTACCACTATGTGCACCCCGAGCTCCCACTACCGCTCGCTTTTCCTGAGAAATTTTCTCCACTTGCCCCTTGGCAGCAAGATAACTTCAAAGGGGCATTATGGTTGGCCACCCGGTTACACCGGGGGATGGGATCCTTATGGTCCCCCATCCGGGTTTTCATATGACGGGGATTACCAAGATGGCGCCGGGACGAGTGGTAGCTAGTTTCCCCATTTTTGTGTCGTCTTCCTCCATCCCTTATCTTATATATGCTTGCTTTCTAGTGATGGGATGTTAAGATGTATCTATGATTAGCTTGGGGGAACTTTACCTTTCTCAGGGGTTTGTCTCGACGGCCAATTTGTTGTTGAGCTTACCTTGTTTTCTTTTGCCTTTTTGTATGATGGTCTCTATCTTGATCTCTCTTTAATGTTGTTTTCTTTTCATGTCTATTTCTCTCATTCTTGATCTTTTTGTTGTGATGATTTTTCCTTGATGATGATGCATGTGTTGCTCCCGCAAATCCAAAACTCCTCATATCCATATCCCATGAATCTAAACCCTTGAATTCAAATTTTGTAGTTTAGTGCTTTGTAGTAAGTTAGGTGTTTAGTTGGTTAACTAGTTTTTATTTTCTTATCTTCACTTTTTGGTAAGTTTAGTTTAATTTTGCTTCGTAGTTCCTTTTTATTTTGTTTTGAAGTTACTAACCATTTTCTTTGTATATAGTACCTTTTTCTACTTTTCTTCTCACATGACTTTGATGATGATGATGCTATTGTCTTTGGAGCTCAACGAAGGTGGTCGATTATACCACCTACTTTTATTAGCATTGCTCGGAAGCTGGTGAGATCTTTCTTATTTTGCTCTATCTCTTTTCTTTTCTTGGATGCATAGTTTAGGATTAGTTTTAAGAGAAGTTGAATGATTCGAGCGTGGATGCTTGTAACACCTAGAGTGTTAGGGATCATTGGTGATGTTGTCAATTGATCACTTGTTTGTTGTTTGGGAATTACGTGTTATACTTGCATCTTTGTTCCTTTCTTTCATTTCCTACTCATCCTTTATCTATGTTTTTCTTTTTCTCTTTTCTTTTCTTTTATTTTTCTTTCTTCTTGATTTTGGTTTGTGGTATGTTTTGAGGCCTTATTTGTCACTTTTTGTCTTTCTTTTGAATTGGACTATATACAACCGATTTTTGCTTTTAAATGAATATCTTCCTAAGTGGTAATGGTATGCACAGTTTGAGAATATGCTTGGTTGACTCTAGGATAGGTGTATGCTAAGGTAAAATTTCTAAGAGCTAAGGGGTCATGAAACCAGATTCTACTTGTTTGTGGCATGTTGGTAGTTGTTTCCTATAGTCGATTTGACTCCTATAGTGAAATTTTGCTACATCCATGTGAGGTATATCATTTTTCAAGCCTTCAACATTTATTTACATGAGCGGCGTGGATCCTTGACTTATTGCGGACCTTATCTTGAATCTTGACTCATAATTCTCAAACAATAGACCGAACCATCTAGGGAGGACAAAGACATCTTTTTAGGGTGGTAATTTTTCATTTCTAGGATAATCTTATTTATTTTTAGTTCATTGGGTTTACATTTGCCTCCTTGCTAACCATTTGAGTCTTTTCCCTTCTTTTCAAGCCACATCTTTAGAATTTTTAGCCTTTTGTTTCTTTTTGTTCCATTTTTGGTTTTTGTGAAGC